GGCGATTATTCTGTCACTTCTTCAGCAGGAGGGCACACTCGCGTCACGCCGAAAGTCCCTGTTGAAGCTAGTTGTCCTCTATTCTGCATCCCCCTCTATTCTGAAACAGCTGTTTTCACTTGTAAATTGAAATTTCTCTCTTTTACATATACATATATATATATACATACAGGTGTGTGCGTAATAGCTGATTGCACTGAAGAAGGCGCGAATGTTAAATGACTTCAATTCATTTCTTGGCGCCATTAAATAATTTCGAAACGTATCACATATTTTTTTGATACAAACATAAAGAAGGAAAAACATAGAGAGGAAGTGGAGAAGTATTTGATCGAGAAAATTAGTTAAGTTATACCCATATGCCGTACGAGTTTCTTTTAGCCACATTTCACACATGGATTCATTAATTTGCAATAAATGCTTCGTCCCGATACACAGAGGACATCAGCCGTACAATATTACACAGTGCGGCCATATTTTTTGTCAGGATTGTCTACAACAAGGTAATTATAGTAAAATCATGCGAAGAATGATATCACACATACACACATACTTTTATTAATTTTTGATTAAAATAATTGATTAATTTTCTGTTACAGTTGAAAGACAGTGTTCACAATGCGAATATATCAGCCCCGCATATTTATCGTTAAAAGAACCAGTGATGCCTAAAACGATCTCGTTTTTTGCGCCCGTCATCGAAATTTGGGAAATGCTGTTAAAAGCGGATATGTTGCGAAGCAATCAGATAAAGATAACAATGCAACGCTTTCGCGAACTTGTATGTTATATGAAATCATTTATTTTATTCCTTTTATGTTTCTCGTGCAATTTCTTATATCATACACACACACATATTTATATTATATTTATTATATTTATATTACACTTATATTTATTTGCATCTTTTTAACAACAATTTGAATAATTATACGATGATGCTTTTTATAAGGACGAAAAGTATGAGAAACTGAAAAATCAGTTTTTTATTGACCAACGTAATTTTAAAATATTAAGAGAGAAGTACATGAATATCAAGAAAGAGAAAGAAAACGTCCAAAAGAAGATATTGCAAATCCAAAATATGTACAAAATGCAAAATGTACCCCGCCCAATGAAGACGACGACAGATTTCTATCCTTCTACGCATTCATCAAGTGCAAGGTAAAATACAAGGACACATATTACGCCATTTATTTTTTTTAATTTCAATAATTTTTATTATTATATACTACTGTTACAAACAATCCAGAAGTATTAAAAGATATCTGAATAATGCGATCTTTTATTAACATTTTTCTTAATGCATTTATTTCATTATTTACAGACGTGCCTCAGGATCATTGGACTTTTTGAAATTTTCTAATGTGACACCTATGTCTGTACGGTCAATCGATTTGAAAAAACATCAAACCGATGCCGATGGTTTTCGCGTACCCAGACCCAGCAATCCAAGACGGGGCAATCCTTTTATTTTTACATCAGATACAGGTTCAAATTATAGTTTCAAATAAGATATAAATTCTTTTTTACACATATTTATATAATCTCGAACTCATTATATATTATTTTACTTAAGTTATACATATTATCTTACTTTTAATATATTCTTAGTATAACTTGTATTTAAAAGTTATACCCAATTATATCCAAAAATGAGAACTAAAATAAGCTTTATTTATAATTAAAAAATAGTGATTTAAAGAAAAAAATACACTAAGTATTTGTTGTCTATTTTAAGAAAGATTCTGTTATAACGTGTGACGTGTCATTATATTTACTAATACATTCATACACGTTATAATTCATTACATATTTTATTTATACTTCTTCAAATAAGTTATTAGATTAATTGTTCTACATACGCATATAAAAGGTACTTAAATAGAAGAATTATCCAGGAGCAGTCCTGAATAACATGAATATGTCGTATAAAACTTGATGATAAATATGAAAATTTCTTCTGTTAATTAAAATAATAAAATAGTTTCTTTTTTCTTTTTTATATATTAACAGTATTATACTAATATTATTATTTGTAGATTATTATTTATTAAAACAAAAGACATTTTCACGAGAGTTATAAATATCAAACATTGTAATGTAAATATTAAAATAAAAAATTGATAAAAATCTTAAAATATTATGTTCAAAGGCTATATCGCGTAACAATTATTAATTATTGCGTGGTAATTTATTAATGCATGGTAATTTATATTAATCATATTCAAAACCCATTTTCAGTCAGACATATATAATATAGCAAATTGGGTGAGAGCGATCAAACTTGCTTCACTCGAAAACGTTATATATATTTGATATAGTAAAATGTTTGTTTGTTATTTTTTTGCGGTTGGTAATGTCATCGTTCTTCGATTATCTCGAAGCCTACCGAAGTCAATGGTTCGTCCTTGAGACGACGTACACTCTCGGCGCCACATGTTTACATTCGTCAAATACCCGAGAGCTCGCGCGGCGCGAAGTAAGCGAGTGGGGATAAGTAGGGTGGAAGGGAGAAATCTGGGGGAATCCGGCATCCGGCAGCAGTGCGTGATACGTTGTCGTTCCGATCATAGTAGTCTGTTGTTTCGCGGTATTGAAACAGTGTACGGTTGTGTACGGTGCGGCAATACGGTGCTCGTTCAATTCATGTGTCTCGTCGATATCGCGATCGCAAAAGAGTGCAGTTTGTTCAGTTGCAATTCTTGTCACGATCGCGAAAACTGTGTCTAAAAACAGTGACGTTACTCAAGAGGCTATTGCGCGTTGCGTCTCGTCTCGTCTCGCCTCGCCTCGTTTCGTCTGGTCACGTACGTCTCGTCTCGTCTCCGTCTCCGTCTCGTCTCCGTCTCCGTCTCGTCTCCGTCTCCGTCTCGTCTCCGTCTCTTGTCCTGTCTATCCTCCGTACGGCCGATTCGCGAAAGTGCATGCTACCTTAGATTGACAACGTCTCGCGATCGCGTAGAATGTTGGATCGCGACACGGCGATACATCTCGTCGCCGGAGGGTGAGTATTATTTTCGACCAGCGCGCGCGCGCACGCGGCCCGGCTTCTCTGCGTCGCGGCCTTGACTCGCTTTAGGGCTGGTTTGATCTCTCCTTTACGACGCGCTCGATTTACGCGATCCCGATCGGCTGCCTTATTATAGCAACCTTTCCGAATCGCGTGATTCTACTCGATCCGAGAGCGATTAAGACCAATTCTCGGAGAGATCCTCTTTAATCGAGAGCGTACTCGATGTGTGTCTACGTACATGATAAGGATACCTATCCGATCTTTTTCTTATCAATAAATTTCTCGATCAATCTTTCATCTTTTTTAACAAAAATATCTCGAAATTGATAATTTTTTTTATTATAACTGATTCAAAATAAAGGATTATGTGAGATTAAAGAGTTTTAAGCGTAGGATAAATATTTGAAAATCCATGTTTAAATTAGTTATTACGAAAAAAGCACGAGTTTACTATGTATTTTTGAAAAGAAATTGAATTAGCATTGTTACCGTTACTAACTTCTTTGCTTTTCAATATGTATTTTGTACGAAAAGATTTGTTTATATTTACGCTCATACACATATTTCGTAAATAGTGACATATTAAACGCCTTGCTACAACCGGCCTTACCAATGGCGAAACACAAGATTCTCGTTTACAGTATCACGTGTCAACTCATTCGTAAGGGAATTCAATGACGCAGTTAAGCAAAACGTGTGTCGGCCATATATTTACATTAGCTACCTGGTTGCGCGCGCATATATGTACACACATATACGTATACACATACATGGACACATTACATTTCTATACGATAAGTTCTCATGCTATATGGAATATTTGAAAAAATTGATGAACTGAATTTTTGATTAGAAAATTTTATTTCGAATAATCCGAAGAAATCTCTTGAAACATATACATATGATAAAGTTAGGTAAGATTGCATCATGATGTGTAATTTTGCACCGCAGCAAAAAAGGATCATATATAGAATAAGATATATATGTGATTATATAAAATGATTATATATAATATACAGATTTTTTTCAGTATCTAAAAAAATGATTATTAAGTAATGAAACTCTCTTACAAACGTCTCTTTTGACGTTTAAAAACCTATTCTTGTTGTGGTGCGAAAGATTGTATTTATTAATGCAATTTTATCGGATTAGTGCACGTTTTTCCAGGTCATCTCCTCCTCCCCCCTCCCCCCAGATTTTAAAATCAAGTTTGTTACAATGAAGAAAAATCGAGTTTGTTACAATGAAGAAAAATGATGATTATCATTAATTTTTAATTTAACATTTCACTTTAAATTGGAATTTTAGTTAGAATCAGCCATAAGATTAATAAAGTAGAAATTTTGTCCTATATGTTGATAATCTGTTTGAAATGTAATTAAAACTTAATTTTTGATTTTTTATAATAATTTATGATAAACATCTATATATTATAATTTTTTATAATATAATATCTGATATCTCCTATTTTATTAAAAGATTGCACTGTACATATTATTAGAGCACCCTATATATATCGCGTATTATTACGAGATATCGATCCCGCAATATCAAATCTGGCATTTCCTTTCTTTCCATCCAAAAGTAGATCATTTGAAAGGTCAAACAAGTAAATTGTATAAAGAGACTAACATTTTCTGTTTGATTGACGACGAAAAGGACTAATCAATTTGATTATTCCATTACATGTTGGAAATTTCGTTTCAAGGCTTTATAAATCTGCGAAATTTGTAATGCCAATTTAGAATAGATATTATAGTATCAATAATCAACTACTACAAACTATTTCAAAATTTATAACATTTGGTATAAATCGATCAGTTAATAATTACAGTGGAGGACAAAGAATTCAGGAAAATCTGTTTACTAATTAAATTAACCGAATAAATTTTTATTTGTCTTTATTTATCGTTTAATATTACAATTTTGCAGTTTTATAAAAAGAATAAATTATTGTGAAATTTTAATTGAAACAAAATATTAATTAACGACTGTTAAATAAATTTATTTATGCGGAATATAAACTCATTATTTTATGTCCGAATTATAGACTGAAAATGCAAAACGATATCACAAGAATAATTTTAATCATTAAGCTTCTTGCATTATTATTCTCATTTATTTCAATTTGTGCGCATGCAAATTTTCGATCAACGTTTTACGTCGAGCGGCGTTTACCTCTATTAACCTGGCATCCTCACCACGAAAAATCAGATTCAAATATAATAAAACTTTATTACCGAAGTAATAACAGCAACTAATTGCGTTCTTGTACTTTACTCTTGTAGGTAAGCTAGCACCGCCACAAATTCGGATCGATTTTTCTAAATCAAACTTTGAGTAATAAATTCGATATTATATATTTTGAAAACAATTAATTAGGGAAACATTTTAAGATCGTAATAATAACAGCAACTAATTGCGTTCAGGTACTTCACTCTTGTAGACAAACTAGCACCGCCACTCATTCTAGTCGATTTTTCTAGTTAAACTACATGCAATAAATTCAGGAATGGTTTATTTTGAGAGCATTTACTGCAGAAAACAATTTTTTTTTATCACGAACTGATATTGTTAGTTACTTATTTTTTATGATTTTACTTTTATATGTTCATAGTATGTCATGTTGGTGCATCTTTAAGAATATAATATTTTCAAAATCTTTTCGCAGTATCTTTCAGTAATTAATTAGCAATAAATTCGACTGTATTTGTTTTTTGATTTACGACTCGCAATAAGTGTTTTTCGGAAATAGGGGTTCTAGCTTAATGGCAAGTCAGCTCCCCATTTTTAATATTATCTTTTTGTTAATGGATAGAAGCAATAAATTTGCTCAGAGCAATAAATTAACAACAAAGTAGCACTTAATTATGCACTATATTTAAACCCGATTTTTCGTAATGGGAGTGCCAGGTTAATAGAGGCATTTATTGTGCACTGGGTAAAAATTAAACGCAAATATGTAAATATGCGCACCTGCTTTTCAGCGTGGAAAGATATACAAATTTACGATGTGTAACGTGAGAATTGGACGCTAATTTACGGTCACGTTCCTCTGGTATCATTGATAAAAGGCACGGCATGTACCACGCAGTAGCAACTTAGGAGCAGATGAATTAGACTAGTTAGACACCTTCAAAGATCAAACATGTTTTTTTCCATTAAATTAAGCTCGTACACAGTTTGTACATATAATCATTTTAGGAGACTTTAAATTGGCAAGAATACAAAGTGAAATTATCGTATTTTCTCTTACATTAGCCTCACCGTGTGCTTTGAAAAATTAACATTTACCTAGATACCTTTAATGAAAAATTACATGTAACATCATTCCTTGTAACTTTTAAATTTTTGATGTTGAATATTTTGTCTGAAACTAAAATTTTATTAAAGTCACGAAAATAAATGTCGAATAAAGTTTTATTACCTTTATATTATTAAAGCTTAATAAAATTTTTTAATGTTTAATTCCTTACAATTTTTTCAATATTATCAGTTTGTCCATTTTTATTTTGTGAATTTAATATATCGGAAAATATTACAAAAACATTAAATTTCACTAAATACGAATTTCGATAAATATAAGCATGACACTGTGTTCACACGTTGCAACGAACAATAAATATTGGTTCACTAACACTGCTAATGTATATCGTGTATTTGCACTACGACACGAAATAATTATTGTTAATCTAATTGGAATGATTCATGAGGTTATGTCAATGAAATTTTCTGCGCAAGAATTCACATCGAATAAATATTGATATTCATTTTCTCTCGTTAGAATCGTTGTGCGATATTTCTCGTTGTTTTTATCGTTGTATCAACAATATTATATAATTTTTACCTCTCGTTATAATTTCTAGTAAAATAAGATAATAAAAGATGGAAACACACACACTTATAATTTATTTGTAATAAATTGTAACGAACATATTTTATTTTCTCTATCTTTATTAGGGGTTATAATATATTTTAAATATAAATTATATAACTAGTAGCATTTTGTGTTATAATTTTCACGATTGATCATGAAATTTGATTGCTCAACAGTCGTAATTTGTAACTTTTTTTTTCATTTTTCCTGGAAAACAATAATGACTTTTCTATATTAAAATATTATTTATTTTATAAATTTTGACAAAGCTAGCAAATAAAATTATTAAGATGCATAATTTTATACGTACACATACATTTATAAAGAAAAGACTATTTATTATTTACGTACATAAATATATAACATTAAAAAATGAAATAACTGATATAAAAAAGGGGGGAATATCATAATACAATAACAGAAACATATTTTTGTATATATGAAAAATCGATTACTGTAATCACAAATAGATAATAACATTGATAACAACAAGATAGTCACAAGTCTCACATAAATCTTCCTTTCACATTTCGCGTAGAGTGGCTGGTACGGCAGGAGCGATAGTAACTTGTCCGCTCGAAGTAGTAAAAACCCGATTGCAGTCGTCGTCTTCCGGTTTTCATCCGCCGCCAGTAAGTAAAGAATTTACATCCGGTCATCCCACATGCAAGGGTTCGCCGACGCCTGAACAACGCAGGAGGCTATGCACTGGATACCCCAGGTAAAAAAAAAAATAAGTAATTATAAATGTTATACATATATTATATCATATAATTATGACACACGCGCGCATTTTTATAAAATTGTTATTAGATCTTTTATTGAAAAATATCTCGATATCGCATAATTATATCGATCAAACCAAGAAGTTTTGATCACGCGTATATAAAAATTGAACATTATGGAGAACGAAAATGCAGTTTGAGAGAAAAATGTATGTATTCTGAAATTTGGCTTTCTCTCTCTCTCTCTCTTTCTCTCTCTCTCTCTCTCTTTCTTTCATGTTCAGATATTCCAGCCACTTCGTGGCCCTCTCGCATTTCGGTGTTTCGACCTCGCCTCCGAATTCTTCCCGATACGCGCCAGGCATCTATCAGTGCTTAAGGTATATTATCAAGAATGAGGGAGCACGAGGATTATTCAAAGGTCTCGGTCCTAATCTCATCGGTGTGGCACCGTCCAGAGCTATCTATTTCTGTGCGTACTCCAAGAGCAAAGTTGCATTCAACGCAATCCTACCTCCCGACACACCGATCGTTCATGTTTTCTCCGCGTCCTGCGCTGGTAAGATTACGCTGTTATAATAGTATTAAGCTGAATAATCCATCTATTATATATGAAAATCCTCGTATTTATCTAAGATTGAATTATATATCTACTATATGTATACGAACAATGGGCTTTAATAATCGATTTGATTCTGGATAGTATAAGACCGTTCTTATCTCTTTCCCGCTACCCTGATAAGATAATACTTTACTCTAATGCTTAGTATATTTGAATACATTAACATCATTAGGATTCTCGTTTGTTTGCTATTGCATCTTTCAGTACATTGGCTCGACTCGTATTTTCTATCGTTAAATAAATTTGAATTTGAATCAAATGGGGATAAGCAAAAACTAACTTGGCAAATGTACTATTTTCTGATTATAATTTTTTTCACGTTTCTTTTTTTTACGTGCTTTATGTCAATATAATCAGATTTTAATATTTTTTTATACTAAGATAATATTTGAGGATAAAAAGGAAAACATTTAAATTTCTCTTGTTATTCCTCGTTCGTATACATGCTATGCCATCAGTTTTATTTTATTCATTATAAAATTTCAAATTATCTTTTTGAGAAATCGACTATTTTTTTTAAAGGTACTATATTTGACATTTGTGTCGGTATAATTTAACAAATATATATA